ATTCTCCTTAGAATAAATGGGAAAAGTGATGAGAACATTTGCCCGAAACCACCTAGCACATTGGACAGACTCATGGAAGATGTTGAGAACCCTTATATTCAAGCCTCTTGGGTTCTCTGTGACAATTCGGTTCTGTGGTAGGTAGGTAGTTAGTCATGAGCAGGCAGCCCTAAGAGAAAAGCGAAAGGGCATTTTGGTCAACACTCTAAGTCCCACTAGGTCAATGCCCTAATTCTCACTAGGGCGATAAACTAATTAGGCAGTTTAACTAAAACAACCTGGCTCACATTGGGCGCGTGCAATTAAGTAATCAAATTGCTCATTCTTTACCTGTGAGAAAAGTACTAAGTGCAAGAGAAAACGTGCAGATTCGAATTCAAAGGACATAGGTAGTGTAACAGACCTCCCACCAATGAATATTCCTGACCTCTAGGAATAAAAATAACGATTAACCAGTATCAAATGCGGTTGCCACCTGGCAATCTGCCCACCCAAGAGTCTTCTGGGTGTACTTTCCTTTCTATCCTATTAAATCTTTTCTACCTACTTCATTTGTGGTTGAGGTTTCATTTTGTACCTAAGGACAGATCTCTAATTTTAGTGATCTGGTCCCAAAGAACCAAGGACTTCACAATACAGCTCGACATTTTCCCATCTGTTAACAGTTCTATGCACTAAATGTCAGATAGAACCTTCCTATTGTCCTTATTAACAGAAAGACACCCTCAACCTGTGTCTCTAGCTTCTCACCCCTGAAAAAAAAAAATCCTAACATGTTATGTCTTTAAGGAAATTCAAAAAGAGGATGTACTCTTACAAGTACAGGCTTCTGATAATCTAATCACTTGACTAGGAAAACATTTCCATTTTCCATGGAGAAACTAATCAATTTTCTAATCTGCTAAGCCAACCATTAAGCAAAACTGAAATTAACCAAAAACAAGGAAATGGTTGACAGAATTGCATGCTAAGTCACCAATACAAAAACTGATATAAAAGGATGTAAACACAATGTTAAACATGTACTTGTGGAGAGCAAGGCCACCTGCTTCTTCCTGAGTCCTTTTTTTTTTGGGGGGGGGAGGTTTTTGCTATAGGGTGTATACGCTCACCACAAAGACAGAGAGAGACAGAGAGACAGAAAGTGAGAAATCACCCCCGGAGGGATGGCCACACCACAATCCCTTCTCCTCCATTCTCTCGGGATCTTGGGCATGCACGCACACGCGCCCGGCGTGAGTTTAAGCCACCGGGTCTGGGACTTGATCTGCGGTTGACTACGTGGGAGTCCAGTGACATAGCCATTATGCTATCTGCTGGTCCCCAGGTTGTTTCTAAAAGTACAATCATAAGAAAAAGAAACAAGGGAAAATAATAGCAAGCAAAAGCACTGTAGAAAGAAGGCTACAGTGGTAAAAATATAGTTTTAGTAAAAAGGTTAAAAGGGAAGGTTTTAACACAGAAAGTATTTTGTATGGTGAAGTTTTTGTCTTTAGGAAAATGGCTAAAGTAAAGAAAAAGGACAGAAACTGCAAGTTTACAGCATGCTGTTGAAGGTTTCAGTCCTGTTGGAAGAGTCTTATGAGGTCCTTAGGGCAGTCAAATATGTAGAGAGAGAAAATGAACGGTGGGTTCCAGGGCCTGAGGGAGGGGATGGAATATTAGTGTTTAATGGAGACAGAATTACAGGTTGGAAAGGTGAGAAATTTCTGGAGCTAGACAGTGGTGATGGTTGCACAACAAAGTGAATGCCACTAAACTGTTCACTTAAAAGTGGTTAAGATGGGGGGGACCAGCAGTTGGTGTAATGGCTATGTCGCTAAACTCCCATGTGGTCGATCACAATTTGAGTCCCAGACCCGGTGGCTTAAACTCACGCCGGGTGTGTGTGCGTGCATGCCCAAGATCTCAAGAGGAGAATGGAGGAGAAGGGACTGTGGTGTGGCCATCCTCCCTGGGGGAGTGGGGTGATTTCTTGCTTTCTGTCTCTCTGTCTTTCTGGTGAGCACACGCGCCCTATAGCAAAAACCTCTCCAAACAAAATAAATAAAAAAGTGGTTAAGATGGGAATTTTCATACTATGTGTTTAGCACAACTACAATAAACAAAATGTGCTGAGAAAATGGCATCATGCCCTCAGTGGCAGGAGCACCGTGCTGAGCCCCAACTCATCCATCTAACTAGTGGCAGTTCCTGCCCTTTACACCTCTTCCCAACATCTCTTGCCTCTTCTGGTCAAACACCTGTACTCCACTGCCCTCTATGCTAGGCCTGTGTGCTCTGCCCAGCTGGACCATGGGTATCTCCTTACTCACATCATGGAGGACCTGGCCTGGCTGGGCAGATACCAGCTGAACCGTGGGCCTGCCCTGGAGCTTGCTACTTGCTCTCTATCCCTCCTCAGCCAGTCCAAGGCCACACGAACAGTCAGGAGGGGACAGCAGTGAACAACCTCTAGAAGTCAGTATGTGCTTCCACTGTGGGGAGGGGAGAGTGTGGGGCAGAGCTGTGTCTAACATGCTGCCTCCAGGCCCAAAGGTTTTGCAATAAACAGCTGAGGTCTGGACAGTGCCAGGGTTTCTGGCTGAGGTAAAAGGCCCTCATGCCCACAGGAACACATGGGGTAGACAGTGTTGTAATTACCATCATCCTAACCTGTGCCCACATAGCTCCAAGCAAAATAAACAAAACAAAACAAAAGAAAACAAAGGGAAAAATAAGCAAACAAAAAGTCATACCAGGGCTGCTTCATGGCCTAATGGTTGAGGGAGCTCAATCCCACATAGCCAACTGTGTGGTTGAGCCCCAGCCCTGGTAGCTTGAAAAACCAAGCATGCATGCGTGCGTGCATGCATGAGTGTGTGCATGCATGCATGAGTACGTGCATCACTCCCAAATCCTAACAGGTTGGAGAAACGGACCCTTTGTATGTGTGGGGTGCTTTTTCCTTTTCCCTTCCCCCTCTCTCTCACTCTGGAGAATGCAAGCACCCACTAGAAAACTAAAACGTAAAAATAAATTTGAGAAAAGAAAAACCAAACTACTTCCAAGGCCAGTCAACTGCTGCTATTCTTGACTGGTGCTGGCCTGAGTAAGCCCTTGCCCTGATCAGTGCCGCTATAAAGGAACTCAAGCCTGTCAGTCCCCTTTCAGGGCCCTTCCGGCCTACCCACATTCCTCCCAGGGCTGTGGCATGCCACAGGAGCCAATGCCATTTGCATGCCACCCTGGGCGACCACAGCTGGCCTGGAGCCTGGCTTGGCTTCCCAGCTGTTTGACAGGCAGGAGGAAATGCAGAGGCTGCTTCTCAGAATGGCTACCCCCAGCCCAGGACCTCAGTGGTACCGCTAAAGCTGGTGCTGCCCAAATTGTTGGAGAACCCTGTACTGACCCGAGATGGGGCAATCCAGGCTTTTCCAGTTTGGTTCGAGTGATCTATAATAAAACGCTGATAGGCCTCAGACGTGAGAGGGAGGGGACCATGCTTACTCATTCGGACAAAAATGCCAGACACTGTCCTTAACGGCTCAGCAGACCAGGAACGGGAGCATGAGCAGTGGGGCAGTCGTGAAGCCCAGCCCTCCCTCTTCTTTCACACCGGGCACTTCACCCCCAGCCTGTGGAGTACTGGGCATAGGCTCCTCATGGGCCTGAGGTCTGTTCTTGCCTTCTTGCTCTGCCGTCCCCTCCCTGGAACAGGGACCCCTCCTTGACCACCCTCACCCAGCCAGGCCTGCCTCTCCTCAAGGCACAGCAACTCCCACAGGCTGCTCTGGGCTCTCCGCCTGCTCCACCTCCAGCATGCCCCCCTGATGGGGTGTGCACAGATGGGGGTGAGATAGACTCCAGGGGGGACTTCACACCATGCCGTGGCCCTTCAGAGCAGGAGCATGGCGCAGCAGGTGCTGGGGCGGCACTGACCCCCAGCATGACCCTGGTCAAGGTCTCTAACACTCGGGGCTTTACTTTCTATAAAATCGTGAGGGCTAAGTGAGGCAATGTGAAGAAAGCCCAGTACATTCTAAGCACTCAGTACACAACAGCAGTGGTGCTTTACCTCCTTGGTTCAGAACAGCTGAGAGTAAGAAGAAACACAGTGGCCTGACGCTGGTCACTGAGATGTTTAATCATTTCTTTTTTAAAAGAATAATTCAATTAATAATAATAGTTGTTATTATTTTTAGTTTGACAAGAGAGAGACAGAGAAGGAGCGAGAAAATGAGAAAGTAAGAGAACCACACTGCCAGGTCCAGGTTTTGAACCTTGGTCGGCCGTGTGGGAGTCTAGCACCCAACCACCATGCCACCTGCCAGCCTCAAGATGTTTAATGATTTCTAAACACTACCCAAAACATCCAAATGTTCAGATCTAGCATTTTCCAAGTCGTAAACAGCACACACCGCAGGAACATTAGAGGATGATGGCTGCGACAGACAGTGAGGTGCTGCTGGGTGAGCCCCAAGTTCCAGGCATTCACCCTGCACGCTGTGAGCAGAGTGGGAACTCTGGGAGCTCCAGTTCCCCAGCAGAAGGCTCTCTCGGCCATGTGGCTTGGTTCTGCAGCAGGACAAGTCATACTTCAGTATGCCCAGCCTGAGGGTCACCCAGAGCAAAAATAAGCCACCAGGCAGGCCAAAGGGCAGGTCAGAGGGCCTTGTGCTCTGTGTCTCCTCAGGGAACAAGGCGAAGAAACCCAGCCTGTTCCATGGCATCTTGTGTCCCAGATCCTGGCCCCAGCCTTTTGCCTCCACCTGGCTGTTCCAAGTCAAAGTTCTCAACTAAAGCCATCCTGCCTGCAGAGGACATCACAGTTGTCACGACCAAGGTGTGTTGGCACTAACAGGACCTACTGGGCCAGGCCTAGGGTGCTGTCTAGCCTCCCATAGTGCATACAACAGCCCCACGGAGGGAACAACATGGTTCTGGAGGTTCACAGCCCTGAGCCTGTGAACCCAGTGACCGTGAGTGACTCCTACGCTCGTGGAGTGATAGGTCCTCACCTTTTTTTTCTCGGGCAATCTTCCTCACTCCTTCTCTGAATTCTGACAACACCTGAAGGTAGGGCATGACTGTGGCCTCGAGCTGTGGAGAGAATAATTTTGTTTCACTGAGAGGAGCTCACCCCTGACATTTATAACTGAACAATAGTTCAGAAGACAGATCACAGGGCAGGGACCAACGAGGGCACTGCTGCTATGACCAGTGTTCCAGAGCACCCTCGTCAGACACCCTCATCCCTAACACACCGTCTCTCCTAGGTATGCAAGTCTCATGGACTTAGGGGCTTCCAGCATAGACGGCAGAAAGCAAGCTTCCTTTTCTACCTTCACCAGGATCAGCTCATTAGCCACTTTGTCCTATTACTGACATGACATGCCTTTTTTTTTTTTTTTTTTGAGAGATCTTTTCGCATGCACTCGCCAGAAAGACAGAGAGAGACAGAGATACAGAAAGCGAGAAACCACCCTCCCTTCCAGGGGGATGGCCACGCCGCAATCCCTTCTCCTCCATTTTTCTCTTGGGATCTTGGGCACGCACGTACATGTGCCTGGTGTGAGTTTAAGCCACCAGGTCTGGGACTCAAACCACGGTCAGCTACATGGGAGTTCAGTGACATAGCCATTATGCTAACTGCTGGTCCCCCTAAATAAATCATTCTTTAAAAAAAATAATGCAGAAGCTGGCCAGGTTGATGAGCGCTTTAGTCTAAGTTAAACTTCTCCAGGCCCAATCTTGCATCTGGGTTGAGGATGCCTCCTTTAAAGTGGGAACTGTGACTTCAACGGTGGTTTTAGATCTTTATCTCCACCTAGAGAAGCCTTGGTGCAGGAGGGAGGAAGGAAGATGGTCATTCTACTGCCATCCTCAGCCCCAACAGTGATTGAGGGGGACTCCCAGGACAGACACAGGGATCTGTTTCAAGGTTGCCAGGGGTTGCCAACATCCTCCAGTGATCTAGCCGACCATATTAGGATAAACAGTCAAGTGGTCAATACTGAAGTGGTTCTAGACTTGGAAGCATCCTCTCCTGCTCCTAAACAATTTGGATTTCAAAGTTACTCCATGAACTTCAAACGGCCATGAATTGTGGGTCACATGATGTTTAGCCAAGCAGGCCTGCCACACTCACCATGGCTGCTTATTCCCAATTAGCTAATTTCAAAGGGAAGTTGGGAAATGTCTATACCATGTTTGAGGTACCCCCCCCCCTCCAGTCATAGCAGCATTTAAGATGAAAAACATTTTCTTAAGTTCAAAGTGAGACTGACTTTAACCTTAGAGGTATGCTTTTGGTTTTTGTTTTTAAAGAAAATAAGTATTATTTGCACAAGAGAAGAAAGAAACTATGTGGGTTTTCTTCCTAAAAAGCACCACAGAGAGTTGGTGCATTTCAAGGTCTGAAACATATGGCACTGGCTCACTCTAAGGCGAGCAAGAGGCATGGGCGTGTGGGCAAGGAGCCCTAGCACGGCTGCTCTCAAAGCAGACAGACCGCTTCCTCTTTGAGAAGCGACTAGGGGGTGGTGTGGGACACACGCAGCTGTGAGCTCCCTCTGCAGGGAGCACGTCGCACAGCTCAACATTAGGAAACAACTTTTTTTTTTTTTTTTAAGAGATTTTCACTGTAGGGCGCGTGCGCTCGCCAGACAGACAGAGACATAGAGACAGAAAGCGAGAAATCACCCCCCAGGGGGGATGGTCACGCCGCAATCCCTTCTCCTCCATTCTCCTCTCGGGATCTTGGGCACTCACGCACATGCGCCCGGCGTGAGCTTTAAGCCACCAGGTCCGGGACACGAACCGCAGTCGACTACGTGGGAGTCCAATGACACAGCCATTACGCTAACTGCTGGTTCCCAGGAAACAACTTTAAAGAGGGCTTGCCTTTCTACTTTGTACTAAGCTCCTGCCTTTATTAAAATAATGGCTGTTATATTTAAATATTTATGCATGCGTTTTAACCAATTAAAGAGCATTCTTGACAGGGGAGGAGTGTGCAAATCTGCCTTAAAGAGGCCTGATGTGCACTCGGCGAGCGGACTGTGGAACATGACTGGGGCAGAGGGGCCAAAAGTGGACAGCTGTGGCTGTTCCAGACGGAGTTCTCACATGTGCAGACCCATTAGCCAGAGGGTGCTACGTGGCGGCCACCTCCTGACCTCCGTGATAACCGCTGGACAAGATGGACCCTGGGCTCAGAGTCAGTACTGGACCTGTCTGACTGCCCCATGGAACAGAGGCTGGCAGTGCGGCGTTACCCAGTCAGCATATACTCCGTGCTGTCTGTACACCTGGCCTTTCTGTGAAGCATCTACTGATATGGTCACATACAGGATGACATCTGAAAATGAGAGTACACGATGCCAGGCAGCTGAGGTGTAATCAAGGGCCAAGAAACAACCCTGCTGGTCAGGGGTCCTGAGACAGAACTATGACAGCCACAGCAGCAAAAGTGCCCCCAACGAACAGTCAGTGCCCAAGGCCATCGTAGCTGAGGCTGACCTTCCACGTCCTGGAGGGACAGCCTGACCATTCCTGATGCTCTCAGAGGCAGATCTGAAACTCGACCGAAAGGCTCAATCTGAAAGGGTCTGGCATGGGAGGGATCCAGTGCATCTCCAAATGTCCAAGCCATTGTTACAGGAGGGGTGAGACTCCTGTGGCGTTTCACGGGAACAGGAGTTGGGGGAGGCAGGTATGGACAGTGGAGGCGGTCTCACAGTGGACACCATGGAAGGTGGCTTTGAGGTATGTCCACCAGGCAGGCTCAGGGGAGGCTGTGGCTGACCTGAGGCCCTGGAGAGAGGTCTTCAGGACCCAGACATGTCTACTCACATTCAGGCTGGTTCCAGGTCCTCCGACTGGGAAACCCAGGGTGCTTTCCTCTTCTATGGCCCCAAAGATCTAGGAAAAGAAACAGACAGGACTGGAACCACGTGCAAGGTGAAGAAGTCCAGAGATGCAGCACACAGCACGCAGGCAGCGAACTGTGCCCCAACACTCCCGGAAAGGGCAGTACAGGGAAGTCCTTCTGGGTGGGCCGTCATGACCAAGGAAAGGATGAAAAAGAGCAGTTCCACGTATCCCAGAAACTCAAGTCTGGGGGGTGCCTAACAACTAGGAGCCAGAGGTGAGGTGGGTGAGGAGCCCTAAGGCCCAGCTGCTCTCAGGAGAGCTGGCTTCACGGCGCAGTGGTTTTGTACGAGAAACAAATCTATATCAGAGTTAAGGCCTCGTTGCTTCCAGATGGAAGTAGTAAAAACTGAGACAAAGATAAGAAACAGCTCAGAGTAAGGAACAGCTATATAAACACTCCCCCGGGTTTTTTTTTTTTTTTTTCCTTTCAAAAAAAATTGCCAAAGAGCACATGTGCTCAGCAGAGAGAGAAAATAGAGAAAGACTATCCTCCAGAGGGATGTGGTCATGCTACGTCCCATCTCCTTCATTCCTCCATCCCGTTGGGATTTTGAGCACTTGTACACGTGAGTCTGGCGTGCTTCTCAAGCCCCCAAGGCCAGGATACAAACCATGGTTGGTCATGTGGAATCTGGCTCCCTTAACCACTAGGTACAGGACCAAACCTCTTTCTTTTATTAAAAAAAAATGTTCTCCCTTCTCCATAAGTGAGAGAAACAGAGAGAGAGACAGAGAGACAGAGAGAGTACCCCAAATGGGCTCTCGTGTTGCTATCCATGCCAGTTACCCCTGGGTTACGGCCACACATGTACCTGGTATACTCAGGGAGGTCTCCAGACACGAGCCTGGAACCTCCCATGTGGGTCAGCCCTACAGAGCACTGCTCTATTGCCATGCTCCCTCCCAGTCCCCTGAATTGGTTTTATTTCTTTTCTTTTCTGTTAAGTTGCCAGAGAGAAAGAGAGTGCTAAGAAAGTAGCCCCAGTAGACGTGGTATGCTGCAATCCTTTTTCCTTCATTTTTCCCTCCTATCAGGACTTTGGGCATCACATACACATGCCCAGTGTGTTTACCATGCTGCTGGAGCTGGGATTCAAACCATGGTCAGCCCTATGACTCTGGCTCCCTTAACCACCGCACTACGGGGCTAGCTCTGCATTTTATTTCTTTTTAAAATTTTGTTATAGGGCATGTGTGCTTGCTGAAGAAGGAGAGAGAAAGAGAGAGGGGGAGAGGAAAAGTAGGGGAGAGAGACAGAGAAAGTGGGAAAGCACTTCCTCAGGAGGGATGGCCACACTAATTCCTTCTCCTTCATTCCCCCCTCAGGATTTTGGGAATGCATACATACATGCCTAGCATGTTTACTTTTCTTTTTTTTTTTTATAATTTTAAATTTTATTTATTTACTTATTTTAATCTGACGAGAGAGAGAAGTGAAAGTGAGAAAGCAAGCCACCAGGTCCAGGATTCGAACTGTGGTTGGCCATGTGGGTATGTCTAGCACCTTAACCACCATGCCACCTGCTGGCCCCATTTTTTTTTTTTTAAAGAATAATTAATTTAATTTTACTTGCTATTATTATTTATTTTTTAAATTTGACCAGACAGAGACAGAAAGAGAGAAAGAGAAAGTGAGAAAGCAAGTTGCCAGGTTTGGGACTCAAACCGCAGTCGACCACATGGGATTCCAGCACCCTAAACACCTGCTGGCCCTGTCTAGCATGTTTTTTAAACCACCAGGTCCAAGACTTGAACAGTACAGTTGACTATGTAGGATTCAGCTACTTATCCACCATACTACCAGCTAGCCCAGGTTTTCTTTTTTCTTTCTTTCTTTTTTACTTTTCTTTTTTTAAAGAATTATTTAGTTCATTTTATTTATTCATTCATTTATCTTAATTTGACCAGAGAAAGAGACACACAGAGCGAAGGAAAGCGAGAAAGCAAATCACCAGGTTCAGGACTCAAACCGTGATCGGTCATGTGGGAAAGTCCAGAGCCTTAACTATCACACCACCTGCTGGCCCGGCCCAGGTTTTCTTTCTTTCTTTCTTTTTTTTTTAAATAAAGTTCTTGGTCTATTTATTTGTTTATTTTTAAATTAGTTTTTATTTAACTTTATTTATCATATTACTATTATTATTTTAATTTGAGAGAGAGAGACACACAGAGAAAGAGAGAGAAAGCAAGAAAGCAAGCCGCTAGGTCTGGGACTCGAACCATGTTTGGCCACGTGGGAGTCCAGCACCTTTAACCACCACACCACCTGCAGGCCCCCCAGGTTTTAATTTTAACACACAAAAAGGTACAGCAGAAATGAAAGAGAACAGAAACATCTCTCAGCTTCTCCGAGGCTGCTGGGCACTATGCAGCAGATCTGGGACCACTCATTATTACTGGGTCTATCACCCATGTCTGCACAGGCGGAGGGACTGTGTGTATCTGGGGACCCGGCTCACCTTCAGCATGTGGGTGAGGTACAGAGCGATGTTCTCCAACAGAGCCCGGTTCGGCCTCCTCCTCGCGGCCTTCCTGGTCGCCATGTAGAGGTTGCACTGACTGACCAAGGCCCGCATTTCTTCCATGACGGTGCGGGTGTCAACATTGTCACAGAGGGCTTCGTGAACTGCCATCTTCTTGTCATAAAAGCTGAGTGACAAAGAGGAAGATAGTGAATAACAGTCAGACCTGATGACATGCTATAGAAATTCTCCACAAAGTTCAACCACTGGCAAGCGCGGCATCTTCTGAGTTTTACACAGTTGCACCAGCCTGCTCCCCAGCTGCCCAGGACACAGAGCCTGGGGGGGCAAGACTTAAGACTGACATAGGTTCTGGGCATGCTCACAGACCCCAGAGAAAAGGCTCCACCTTACTTCTTATTCAGTTCCGCTTCTTCCTCTTCCCACTTCTCAAACTGACCAGTGATATCAACAGGAGCACGAAGGATGTCTTTCACATTTAAGAAAAACTCCTAAGGTTAGAGAATTCAGTTTAATAGCATGTAGGCAACTTTTCCATCCGAAAATAGCTGATGAACTGTTCTACTGATATGACTTGACTTTAGGTAAAATCTGTAAAAACAAAATGCATTGACATTTCACACGGTGGTCAAAAAGTGAAAGATCGTTCTCCAAGATAGAGTATGTTCCTATTATAGCTTTCGACACACTTATTCAGTAGCCAGTACAAGTCAGAGTGCCATGTACACATGTAAGCAAGAGTGAGGCCTCCTTAAAGCCCAGCAAGTGGTCAGACACATCAGAGTAGTGGCACTAAGCTTCCCACCCTCATCCTAGTCTCTGTCAGAGGAAGCGGGGGGGAGGTTCACCCCTACAGTGACCCTTGGGCACCACCATGCTAGTGGTGGCTCTTCCACTGGCCACCGAGAGAACTCACGTTCATGAACTTCTCATACTGGAGCGCTGACTCCATAGTATTGCTTGAGTAATCCAGCGTGTCCTTCCAAGAGTGCATCAGGAAGGCCAGTCGCAACTGCCGTGCTGCGGGAGAAAACAGGACAGCAAAGTGCTCACTCTCCAGAGCGGACCTACAAGAAGACACCTGAGAATCCTTGGGAGACGTCATTTACCTGAATGCTTTTTCAAGGCATCTTTAATGGTGATGAAGTTTTTTAGCGACTTTGACATTTTGCAGCCTGCGATGGTCAGGTGGCCTGTGTGAAGGAAGTACCTGACCCAGCAGTCGTTCTCAAAGTAGGCCTGCAGAGAAAGAGAAGGATGGCAAATGCTGTGTTACTGGGACGGCCCCCTGCGGGAGGAAGCTGGATGCACTCCTGTCCCGATCGCCTGTACCATTCATGTGTCAGGACTACGTTTTCTAGATGGGGCTTGGAGAGATGGCCAGGGCTGATACGTCAGCAGATAACACAACTGGTTCAAATCCAGGCCTGACTGCTGCCAAAGGCCAGGTTGTCAGTGTGGGAAATCAGACTAAATGATAAGGGTTCATATCCCACCAACGAACCCTGAAACCCATCCCGTCTAAGAAGGTGACCTCTGTCTTCTCCTACCTCCGACTGCGCCAGCTCATTGTCATGGTGGGGGAACCGGAGGTCGAATCCTCCTCCGTGAATATCCATGGAGGCTCCCAGCAGGGTTCCCGCCATGGCTGAGCACTCGATGTGCCACCCCGGACGGCCCTGGAGAGAACCAAACAACCCATGACTGACCAACCCAACCGCTTGTCCTACATCCAGCATGCTAATGACCCTCATGCCCTCTGAACTGTATGTTAATGACCCTCAAGTCCTTCGAACTGTTTGGATAAGGTGTTAAATTCCACACAGGAAAGATTGAGGTCACTTTCTTTTATAAAGTTTAATGCCAGTCTCACATGAGTGAGGCTTTGCCGAGCTATGAATTACTCCCAGAAGCCCCTGTCCTCAACATCAGTAGGTAACCAAGCCTCCTTCCCATGGCACTCAGGGTCAGGACTATGGTTGCAGAGAATGTTAGAGGGCTGCCCCCTGACCCACTACATCCCCCAAGCTTGGAATACTCAACACACAGTAGCAGAACCTCAGAACTAGAGGCTTCGGAAATGGTCTAGTCAGATGCATCCCCCTTACAGACTAGAACACAGAAGTCTCAGGGAGGGACACGGTTTATCCTTAAGACCTGGAGGTCCCAGGCTGGCAACTCTGCACTACAGCAGCACTGGTTCTGGCTCAGTAACAACATCTTTCACATGTTGGATCGTGGGCATGGCTGGTGCCAACCGTGCCCCACCCCACTTCTCACCCAGGGCCCCTTGGCTGCTGGCTCACCTTTCCCCAGGGGCAAGGCCAGGATGGCTCTCCTGGCTTGGAGGCCTTCCACAGGGCGAAATCACTGGGAGAACGCTTCTCGCTCAGGCGGTCTGCTGAGATGCTCAGGTCACCTGTGAACAGGAAGGGACAGCCCGAAGTATCCACTCCAAGGCCATGCTCAATGTCTAGTGGCTAATCTTACTGATTTCTCTTCATTTGTTTGGTTCATTTATTTATTTATTTAATTATTATTTTTTAAAGGTTTTTGCCATAGGGTATGTGTGCTCACCAGAGAGAGACAGTAAGAGGGAAAGTAAGAAATCACCCCCAGGAAGGATGGCCACACCACAATCCCTTCTCCTGGGATTATGCACATGCATGCACATGTACCTGGCATGATTTTCAAACCATCAAGTCTAGAACTTGAACTACAATCGGCCACATAGGAGTCCATTACCTCAACCACTATGCCACATGCTGGCCCTAGCTCAAGCACTTTTTAAAGCTTAGTATGATTGGGGCCAGCAGACAGAGTGGTGGTTATGTCACTAGACTCCCACATAGCTGACTCCTGTTTGAGTACCAGACCCTGTGGTTCCAAAATCACACTGGATATTATATGTATGTATATGCCCAATACCCGAGGAGGAAAATGGAGGAGAAGGGATTGTGGCGTGGCCATCCCTCTGGAGAGTGATTTCTCACTTCCCCTCCCACTGTCTCTAACTCTCATTCTCTCTGGTGAGTTCATGCACCCTAAGGCAAAAACCTCTTCAAAAAATTTTCTTAAAAAAAAGCCTAATATGACCAGATTTTGGTGGTAACCCAGAGCCTACACTTACACTGTTCCTAAACTCTAGAGCACAGGCTCACATACCAGTGTCCAAGTAAACCCTCGGTGGCCTGAACCCACAGCTTTCTCAAGACGTTCTCCTCCCACAGCCTCCTCACATCTTTGACCTTCCACGTGTGTAGGATTATTGACAGCACACAATGGGGCACAGCTTAGGGACCCAGCACATGCAGGAAGGACCATTATGTCCAAGGCCCACACAGCCATCAGCTTGTGGGTTTCAAGAGGGCCAGTATAAGGACGTGATCAGTGGCTATGTGTCACTGCACGGAACCCAGAGGTGGTGGTGATGGGGGCTACTGCTCCTCCTGTACTCACAGGGGAAAAGAAACAGGTGAAGAGAACTAAGGAACAGCCCAGGAAGGCGAAAGGGAGCACGTCTTGGTGCAAGTCCAACTTCCTGGACCAAGCCCACAAGGACAAGCGGACTACGTCTTGCAGAAGGGGTGAGAAACAGCATTCTCGGTGAATTCCTTGCACTGACTCAGTGACATCCGTGCCAACTGGCACATGGGATCAAGATGGTGGGAGTCCCCAGAGGAGCAATGCAGTCATCACAGGAAATTTTTCTAGACTACACAGGTAGGACTGAAGGAAAATATTAGCTGCCTGAGCACAAAGACCTGAGAGTCATTCCAGCTGCCCCAGAGAGAATCTGCCTTTGTTGGTGAGCAGGGCAGAGCCGAGGCCTGCAGCTCCAGGGCATTGGGATAGGCCCCAAGCTAGTCTTGCTGGTCCCTGCATCCTTTCCTGGGACCTGGTATGAATGTCACCTTCTCCTAGGTGCAGCTGCCCCTTTGTGGAAAGCCCTGGAACTTTCCTCAAAGGCTTTTTTTTCTAGGGTTCTACAGTAACTCAGGAGCATCTTAAGGAGGTTACAAAGGCAGCACAACCTTTTCAGGTAACAAATTCAGTTTTTAGGTAACTCAGTAGGCAAGACAATTACACTACCCTGAGAAAGAGAGTTGAGAGGAAAAGCACTGTTAAAAGCATTTAAAAAAATTTTTATTTTTTTTTTTTAGATTTTTGCTATAGGATGTGTGCACTCACTGAAGAGAGACAGAGGGAAAGTGAGAAATCATTCCCCACGAGGATGGCCACACTGCAATCCTTTCTCTTCTCTTCTCCTCCTAGGATTTTGGACATGCACACACATGCGCCAGGTATTTTTCAGACCACTTGATCTCAGGGTCAAACCATGCAGTCACCCATGTGGGATCCAGCTGCCTTAACCACCATGCCATCTGATGGTCCCCTCTGAGCACTTTTTAAAACTCTACTGTATCTACAGTTATGTCCCATTTTCGTCCTGCGCACACATAGTTTTGCTATAGGATACATGAATTCGCTTGAAAAAGCGAAAGAAAAAGAAAGTGAGAAATCACTGCCCCACGGGGAGGGGGCTGCCATGCCACAACTCTTCTCCTCTAATCTCTTGGGACTTTAGGCACACACACACACACACACACACACACACACACACGTGCTCACAGTGTGCTTTCTCAAACTGGGTCCAGGACTTGAAACACACAGTCAGCGATGTGGGATTTAGCTGCCTTAACCACCACTCCACTTGGCTGGTCCAGTTCTATGTATCTATATATTAACATACACATGTGTGCGTGTATATATATATATATATATATATTTACATATAAAAATTTAAGAATTATATATTTTTATTTATTATTATATATTTTAAAAATCTGCTATAGGGCACGTGCACTCACTAGAGAGACATAGTGAAAGAGAAAGCAGCCAGGTCCAGGACTCGAACCATGGTTGGCTATGTAGAAGTCTAGCACCTTAACCACCATGCCACCTGCTTGCCCCCCTAATGTATTTTTGTCCTCTATTTTTATTAATTGACCTGCTAAAGTTTTTCTATTTTTTAAAGAATTATTTAACTTTGATTTATTTTTATTTACTTATTTATTTTAATTTGACAGGAGAGAGAGAGAGTGAGAGTGAGAGAAAGTGAGAAGGCAAGTCTCCAGATCTAGGACTTGAACCGCAGTTAGCCATGTGGAAGTTCAGCGCCCTCAACCACCATGCCACCTGCCGGCCCATTTTATTAAGCTTTTTAAATTTTTTTTAAAGAGATTTTTACGAGGCCAGTAGATAGCACAGCGGTTAAGGTGCTGGACTCCCACATGGCTGACCAAGATTCAAGTCCTGGACCTGGCAGCTTGCTTTTTCATTTTCCTTTCTTTCTCTGTCTGTCTCTCTCTCTCTGGTCAAATTAAAAATAGTAACAGTAATAAGAACAAATAAAATTTTCTTTTTTAAAAAAGACTCATGTGCTCACCAGAGAGATGAAGGGATGGGGGAATGACTATGCTGCAATCCCTTCTCCTCCATTCTCTTGGGATTTTGAGCATGTATGCACATGCATCCAGCTGAGTTTTAAGCTGCCTGGTCTGGAACTCGAACCACAGTTGATTATGTGGGAGTCTAGCAACTTAACCATTACGCTATCTGCTGGTCTCTTATTAATTTTTATGAAGAACAAACTTGGATTTTGAAATTATTTTGATTTCTTTAATTTTCCTTTATAAGAGAGAGAAAGAGAAAAGGAGAGGAAGAGTATTTTTGATACAGTCTTATAATCCTCCTGCCCCAGACCCCAATTAGCTAGGATTGCAGGTACCTCAGATGTCCCTTTAGTTTTTGATATCTATAATAATATAATTGCATTGTGAGCAGAGAAGGTGGTCTCCATGAAAACTATTCTTTTGAGACTTGGAGACTTTATTTTTGGTCTGGCATATGGTTCTGTGTGCTTATAAGGAATGGATGTTCTTGAAGTTAGTGTCAAGTTCTGACCTCTTAGACAAAGCCTGCTAGTTGTATTTCAGGTCTTTTGTACCCTCATTAATTCTTTTTTTTTTTTTTTTTTTTTTTTTAGAGAGAGATTTTTGCTATAAGGCATGTGCACTCAACGGAGACACAGAGAGAGACAGAGAGACAGAAAGCAAGAAATCATCCCCCAGGGGGGACAGCCACACTGCAGTCCCTTCTCTATTCTCCTTGGGATTTTGGGCACGCAAGCACGCACGCACGCACGCACACGTGCCCTAGGTCCGGAACTCCAACAATGGTCGGCTAAGTGGGAGTCCAGCAATGTAATCATCATGCCATTTGCTGGTCCCACCTTCATCAATTCCTAGCCTTTCTAACTTATTCATTTCAATCCATGAGCTCCCCCCTTATAAATATGGTGTGTCTATTTCTTTGGTGTTAGGATGTGGAAGCTCGTAGCTTCTGGTCTACTGAAGCCCACGACTAAGTCCTCTTTGGGGATAGGGTGCTTCATCGTCACAAACTCACCCTTTTACTCCTATGAATGTTGTAGCCTTCAATGCCATCGGGTCTGATATAAATGCTGTTAAATTGGGTTGGTCTACCCTTCTTTTCAATGTACCTGTATTGTCTTGTCTAGTTTCAGGTTTTGACAGTTCTTTAGAATAAAACTCCACAACTGAAATAATTTGATCCAAAACTATGAGCATTTTTATGCCCAAACTGCTTTCCAGAAACACTGGGGTGGGAGGAATATGGCATCAGTCTGAGCATGACAGCAGCCCCCACCGTGCAGGGATCACTGATGTATCAACCCTTAGGCTTTGTCTTATGGAATAAGCCTGGGAAAACACCTAGGAATGTGTTTTTCTACCTGGTCTAGAAAAACTCCAATGTCTGTATTTCAAGTAAGTGAGTTAGGGGGCTGGTTCCATGGCCTAGTGGTTAAAGGAACCAGATCCCATATGGCCAATCATGATGTTCAAGTTCCTGCTCTGGCAGCTTAAAAAACATGCCATATGCATGTGCATACATGCCCCAAATCCTGACAGGATAGAGAAATGGAGGAGAAAGGATTACAGCATGACCACACACAGTTGGGGGTGCTTTATCCTTCTTCCTCTCTGTCTTCCTGGTGAGCATATACAGATTAAAGAAAAAAAAGTATGGCTTAAGATGGCACAGGAACTGGAACCAGCAGTTGGTATAATGACTATGTCACTGGACTCCCATGTAGTCGACCGTGGTTCGAGTGCTAGAACCAGTGGCATAAACTCATACCAGGCACGTGTGCATGTGTACCCAAGGTCCCGAGAGGAGAATGGAGGAGAAGGGATTGCCATCCCCCCGGGGGGTGATTTCTCACTTTCTGTCTCTCTGTCTCTCTCTGTCTTTCTGGCAAGCACACGTGCCCTATAGCGAAAACCTCTCAATAAAAACCAACAAAACAAAACAAAACAAAAAACCAAAGATGGCACAGGAGCCAACGCCAAACAGGCATTGCTTGGCACACATGCCAGGTTCCCACAATCCACTCTAAACCTCTCATACTCAGCAGACACACACCAGCCCCCTGAATCAGAATACCACAACACATGTACACCTGTCAAGGCAGCACTGTATCAGGGCCGGCAGGTGGCGTTGCACTCCCACATGACTGACCACAGTTCAAGTCCCAGACCTGGTGGCTTGCTTTCTCACTTTCTTTCTCTCTCTCTGGTCAAATTAATAAAATAATAATAATGATGATAAATGAAATTAAATAAAACAATTCTTTGAAAAACCAGCACTATATCTACTCACCCTTGGGGGGTGATTTCTTGCTTTCTGTCTCTCTGTTTCTCTCTTCTGGCGAGCACATGCGCCCTCTAGCAAAAACCTCTCCAAAAAAAAACCTCCCACATTTCATGGTCTTAGTATAGAAAATTCCTGAATTTGTTTAGGTGGGAAGGCAGTGTCCCAGTTAATCTAAGTGATGGGCTTAGTGCGCCACGACCATGAGGGCTTCAACACTCAGACTGTGTACAAGTGGGAGAGCCCACCGCTTGCCTTTGGGACTCAAACCACAGTTGTCCATACGGGAGTCCAGTGTCATAACCATCATACCATCTGCTGGTCCCCACAATTTATCTTTTATTTACTCATTCATTCCTTTTTTTTTTTTTTTTTTTACCTTCCCCTTCTTGAAGAGCTTTCTGGTCTCCCACAGCTTCAGGCACCAGCTTCCCATAGGAGTGTTTCTCACTAGACGCAAACTTCACTGTGTCAAAGTAGACAGACCCATTTGACGCATAGCTGGAAAACAAAAAAGGAAATGGGCCCTTGGGTAGGATCTAACAGATCCAAAGACACTTCACAGGACAACAATCGAGAACTCCAAATGGGTTATACTGGGTTGTTGGGGAAGTCATGACACATTTACATAGAAAATAAAGAAAAATATGTCATGACTTTCCTGACGAACTAATAAAATTATAAAATCTGTGATTCTGTTCAGATCTCTGCTCCTTTCCACTCTCCATGGTGGCCATGCAAAGCCACGTCAGCCAAGAGAAGAGCTGAGTGGGGAGAAGGGTGGTCCTCACCCTAGAGGCAACTCCCGCCTGCCCCTTGCTCTGTGATGACACTGTTCTGCGGATGCCCTCAGCTCTCCTCACCTGCATGGCTCACCCATCCTTCTGACCCTAGGCTTGCCCATGCCCCACAGTCTGACGCACACATGCTGCCCTACAGTGACCTACGCAGGGAAAGTGAGGTGGTGTGATTGCTGATGAGCCTGAGTGGCTCCAGGTCTGTGTGCACATCACTCTCTCTCTTCCGCTCTCTCATCACTTCAGTCTGTGTGGTTCTTGCCCAACTCTCCAGTTCTCCTGGAGCAGGGGAGCAGCACACAGATGCCCAGCACCGCAGACAGCTGGCTCCCATCTACACTTCCATTTATTGGCTATTCTGAAAATGCTAATGCCAGGGGTTTGGAAAAGTTTTTCCCACAGTTAGATGGTGCTAGCACGGTAAAACCAATGCAGAGGTGATGAGCAATAGATTCACCCACCCTTGACATGCACTCTCAAAGAGCCACATGACATTGGCAGCTCTGAACACCTGGCAGTATCCACGCTCACCATCACACCGCTCTGGAGCCTCTGTGACCCATGGTCTTTTTTTTTTTTTTTTTTTTTTGAGAGGTGTTTGCTATAGGGCGCTCGCCAGACAGACAGAGAGAGACATAGAAACAGAGAGCGAGAAATCACCCCCCCCCAGGAGGGATGGTCACGCCGCAATCCCTTCTCCTCTATTCTCCTCTTGGGATCTTGGGCACGCACGCACACGCAGCCGGCGTGAGTTTTAAGTCACCGGGTCCGGGACACGAACCGCGGTTGACTACATGGGAGTCCAGCGACATAGCCATTATGCTAACTGCTGGTTCCCTACCCATGGTCTTAACTGCTGACTTCCCAGAAGCCTTTGGGCCAGGACCTCACCAGAACGCCCAAGCCAAGCTGTTGGGCCTGTCTAGATGGGTTAACCCGTCAGACCCATGCTCCTCTGCCCTTGGCTGAAGGATGTCCAGGTCCTGGGCTGGGCCAGGAGCTGCAAAAGGAAGTCTGCTGGGGCTATAAGGATAGGCTTGAGGGCAGTAACACCACTCTGTCCTCTTGCTTCCTGCCTCAAACAAAACAGTTACAGAGCTATTATAATGTAGCTAACACAAAATTAAAAACCAGAGTGGGGACCGGCAGGTGCCATGTGGTGGTTAAGGATGCTGGAATCCCACATGGCTGACCATGGTTCAAGTCCCAGACCTGGCAGCTTGCTTTCTCACTTTCCCTCTCTCATACTCTCTCTTTCTTGCTCTCTCTCTGTCCTTCTCTGGTCAAATTAAAATAAGTAAATAAAGTTAAATAAGATAATTCTAAAATAAATAAACAAACAAACAAGAGGGTTTTATTTGTAAAGCAAACAAACCTAAATAACAGCAGCAGAATTGGGAACTAAGTGGTTGAGTGCTGTGCTGTGGAATATGCATGACCCTCCAGTGTCCCCAGTATATGAGCTCTCCTGCTTTCTGGACTCTCACTCAGTCGGAGGACTGCCCTCCCTAGAATGCTGAGAGCCCTAGAGGGGCCCCTGTGCTTACCCATAACCGTTATCCATAATCTTCTGGACAAAGTTCACGATTTCTGGCACATACTCACTGACCCGGGTTAAGACATCTGGAGGGAGAACCTGTGAATGACAGGCAAAATCGGGATTTCCCTTTGGGAACCTTCAGCCTCAGATGAACACTCTCCATGGAAATATTACAAATGTTACCCTTCTGTCCCTCGGCTGAAGTTTAATGTTGACTTCACCACTGAACAGAGCTTATAAAATGAAGACAGTGTGGATCGCCCAAGGCCTTTTGGCTTTACCAAACTGGAATTTGGAAATCAGGGCCTTTGGTCTAGAAGAGCAAAGACAAAAAGAAGTGAGACACTTACATTCAGAGCTTCCATGTCTTTGTGGAATTCTGCTTCCCAGAACTTGGGCAGTTTGGAGAAAATAGAATTGTCAGTCACCTCACTGCCAAACGTGGAATCCAACCAGTCTGAAAGTAAATCCTTTGCTTCTTCCAGCAATACCTGAAGGAAAAGAAACAGAGAACCCATGCACGGACTGCATGTTTCATGTGCACACATCCAGGGCAGTCAGTGTGAGCCAGTCAGTGACCTGAGTTCAAAGATGACCCACACACAGCCACAGTCTGCATGGAGTCGCTATCTCACAGAGAAACCATGAGGCGCACCCGACGGGCCTGGCTCAGACAAACACAAGACTTCACAAATGGGTGTGCACATGAACGCAGAGAAGCAGCCGTGGGTTCAGAGGTGGGATGCTTCAGAGAGCCAGGGTGGGCTTAGAGAGGGCATACAATGTAACTGCCCCCATGGGGATGGGGTCATGGGCAGGGGTGGTGGGGCAGGAGTGCCCACAGTGTGTCACCTATAGCACAACACTTGGCAGACTTAAACAAAGATTCATGAAGATACCAGCCCGACCTCACATGACATTGAATGGGAGAAAAAGCCACCAGTCCCGCCATAGCACAGGATCATGTGACCCACGCTCCAACTACATACAGCACTGGTCTGACCCATGTCCCTGGACAATATGTGCACTCTTGGTGTGAAGCATGTCCCAACTGCATTCTGTCGCAAAAAAGGAATGTCCATCCCTGAAGGAACATGACAGTGACAGGACCTCAGGCCCAAGCCCATAGGCCATGTGGACCCTGAAAATCTGCCTTGGAGCAATCTAGTGTTTCCACCACAGTGACTTGGAGCAGTGACAGGCACATGCGGCAAGCAAAGCTCTGTAGTCCACAGTCTGCCATGAGAGCAGGAGGCAAAGAACCAAGAATGTAGCAGGAACGTGCAGGAAAACGGTCTGGCAGAGAGTGAGGACACACAGGGTAAGATGACTAGATTCCATATGGTTTACCCAGAGCCAGCAGTGTGAAAAAACGTACCTGGAGTGTGTGTATGTGTGCCCAAAGAAGAAGAAATGGAGAAGAGATTGCAGCATGACTACCCCCGCTGGGGGGTGCTTTCTCACTTTCCTTCTGTTTCTCTCTCTCTCTCTAATGAGTGCACAAGCCCTCTGGCAAATTAAACAAAACCCGACAGACTTAAAATACTGGGCGACTACAGTGTGAAAGTCAGATTTCCAAGTGAACTAAAGTGTTTCACAAGTGTTGCTTGGAAAAGGGGACAGAGTGCCTCTGAAGGCTCCTCGGTTAAACATGCATAGTGCAATTTTGAAGGGAAACACCGCAAGACCAGAGCTAGAAACATCTAACCTGGTCAAGGATAACAAATGAATTACAATTACCACCATAAAGGCCAAGAAGGGAAAAACTAAGCATGGGGAAAAAAATCAAAATAAAGAGAAGTCAACTCAGACTGAAACAAGACTAACAGGCACAACTGGACCAGCTCACTAGTGGAAGACAGAACGGATGGCTGGATGGCTGGATTTCAAGTAAGTACTCCAGCCATGTGCAGACGACCAGCTCTCTGGAGTTACCGCACAGAGGTACAAAGTTCATGTACAAGTCAATCACTCTATCTACTGCACAGAGATACAAAGTTCATGTACAAGTCAATCACTCTCCTATCTACTAACAATGAACAAGTGAAATCCGAAGTTAAAAACACAGTAACATTTATACTAGTGTCCTCATAAATAAATTCTCAGGTGAAACATGTCCCAACTGCATTCTGTCGCAAAAAAGGAATGTCCATCCCTGAAGGAATATGACAGTGACAGGACATCTAATAGAATATGTGAAATAAGATCTATTGGGCCATCTGAAAAGTCATGACTTATTTTTTCTGTTTTTCTATTCAAAAATGTGTCATGACTTTTCTGACGACTCATTGATGAGGAAAACTATGAAACTTTGATGAAAGAAATAGAAGATGAACTAAATAAAGGAGACCATGTTTATGGATAGGAAGACTTAACAGCATCAAAATGTCAGTTCATCTCAACTTGATTTATAGACCTGATGCAATCCTAATCAAAATCCAGTAACCTATTCTGTAGATATTGACAAATTGATTCTAAATTTTATCTGGACAGGAAAAGGATCCAACGTAATACTGAAGGAGAAGATCAAAATTGGAGGACCAACACTTACCCAACTTACTGTAAAGCTACAATATTCAAGATAGTGTGGTATTGGCAAAAGAATAGACCGGGACTGGCAGGTGGCATTGTGGTTAAGGGCACTGGACTTCCACATGGTCAACTGCAGTCTCTCTCTCTCTCTCACTCTGTCCCTCTCTGGTCAAATTGAATAAATAAAGTTACATAAAATAATTCTTAAAAAAAAAATAGACCAACAGATCAGTGGAACAGAACAGATAACCCAGAAATAGATCACATAAATAGAGTTTGCTGATCTTTGACAAAAGAGCAAAGGCAATTCAATAAAGATAGGATAGTCTTTTCAAAAATAGTGCCAGTAAAACTGGACATCCACATGCAAAAAATGAACTTCGAGACCTTATACCCTTTACAAAAATGAACTCACAATGGGTCACAGATTGGCACAGTAGCCATGCTGGTAGATGCTACTTGGTAGTTTGAGACCACGTGGAAGGCCAGGTTCAATCCCTGGCCCACTCTAAAAGCCAGATGCAGTGGTGTGCACCTATAGTCCCAGGTACTAGAGAAGGTAAGGCAGGAGGACTGTGATATAATAAGACTGTCTAAAAACAAAAACAAAAAAAGGATCACAGATCTAAGTATAAAATACAGAATTATAAAACTCCTAGAAGGTAACAGAGAAGAAAGCTTAGATGACCTCGGGTATGTAGACGACTTTTTAGATACAATGCCAAAGGCACAATCAATGAAAGAACTAATAAACTGGACTTCACTGCAATGAAAACTTTCTGCTCTGTGAAAGATATTGTCCAGAGAATAGAAGATAAGCCACAGGCTGGGAGAAAAATTTGCCAAAGACACATCTCATAAAGGACTATTAACTAAAATATACAAAGAACTCTTCAAACTCAACAATAAGAAAATAATCCAGGGCTGGCCCCATAGCACAGCAGTAACATGGTGTGCAGAGGGAATCAGATCTCCAACGTGGCCAACTGCAGTTCAAATACTGGCCCAGGTAGCTTGAAAATCATCCCAGGTGTATGTGAATGTGTGCCTAAACTCCTGACAGGATAGAAAAATGAAGAAAAAAGATAAAATAGAAAGCTAGACTAGAGACAAAGCTGACACTCCGAGATGGTTCTTAGACACAGTATTTCAAATCCCAACAGTGTTTTCCATGGAACTCGATAAATCAAGACTTCAAAACACACCTGAAGAACAAAATCAGATGGGGCCTCCTACTGCACCAGATAGGTATGACAGACCAGCTTGATACTTCTACAGGGCTGGACAATTTGACCAACAAAACAGATCTGAGAGGCATACTTATATGAAGACCTGACATGTAACAGAGATGGCAACACAAATAAATCCCTGGGGCAGGAGGAGGTCTCTATATTTAGGGGAGAGGGATTGGATCCCTACTCACATCATTTGTAAAAAAATAATCTAGGGACCAGCAGGTGGCGCGGTGGTTAAGGTGCTGGACACTCCTACATGGCTGACCACGGTTCGAGTCCTGGACCTGGTGGCTTGCTTGCTCTCTCTTGTGCTCGCTCTCTCTCTCTCTCTCCGTGTGTGTGTGTGTGTATGTGTGTGTGTGTGTGTGTGTGGTCAAATTAAAATAAGATGAGTGAATAAATAAAATTAATTAAATAATTTTTTTTTTAATGTGGGGGACTGAGGACATTGATGTGAATTAAAAAACTGAAAACCTTTAGAAGAAAATACAGAAGAATAAATTTATCTTTCAGAGTAGGGCGGACACAAAATGCTAACTACTGGGACCAGCAGAGGGTATAATGGTTACGTTGCTGGACTCCATGTAGCAGTAGATCATGGTTTGAGTCCTGGACTTGGCACTTAAAACTCATACCAAGCACATGTGCATGTATGCCCAAAATCCTGAGAGGAGAATACAGGAGAAGGGATTGTGGCATGGTGAACCCCTGCAAGGGGAGAGTTCTCACTTTCTAACTCTTTGTTTCTCTGGCCAGCACACACACTCTATAACAAAAACCTCTCTCATAATAAATGCTAATTATAAAATAATAAAAAAGAATAGGTTTGATTATATTAAAATCAAAGCCCTCTGTCATTGAAAGAAGGTGAAAAGGAGAGCCGCAAATTGGGGAAAAGTGTTTGCAACACATTTATGTGACAGGCTTAGTATGGGAGAGATAAGAATATTTACAAAAAATTGTTAAAAATAAAAATAAAAATAACCCACGGAAAAGGATCAAATTGGAAGCCCAGAAGCAAGTGGTGACAAGCCGCTCTGTCTCAGGAGAGGTTAGAGAAAAGCATATTCAATCTCAGCAATGACTGCTCTACACTCATTTAACTAATAAAAGGCAAAGAATCTGACAGAACAAACATGGGCGGATGTGCAGATAAACAGAACACCCAGAATATGGTAGTCAGCTGAGAAATTTGCATAGACATTTTGAAAATATTCCCCTAGAGAAAAGAAAGCACAACAGAACTGGGCCCCACCCCGAGTAGGAGTAGGCCATTGGCTGGTTCCAGGGTATGGAGCTGAGTCGTTCCAGACACTGGGAGGCCAGGACACATGGCTCTGTCCCAGCAGCTCCTTGGGGCTGTTGTACAAACACTGTGTTTATGCAGACAGAACCCCAGCCTTGCTTCTCAGTCAGTAACTGGCACATGCCAAGCAGACAGTGGCCATGTGACAGCCCCAATAGAACATGTCGTATGGATTCCTGTAGACTCTGCCTGAGTCCCTTCTTGCTGTACTCTTGCCATGTCACTGTGATAAACCTTGTATGAGTCCTGTGAGCCTTCCAAAGAATCCGAGTGTGTGGTCATTTTGGGGACCTCTAACACAATCACCCAGATAGATCCCTACAACCAAGCAATTTCACTCTCGAGTATATGAACCAAAGACACAAATGTACACCAAGAAATAATACACAACTCATGGGTCGTAGAAGGATGCTCCACATCACTAGACATGATGAAAATGCAAACCAAAAGCACAAGGAGATACCACCTCATGTGCATTAGGATGGCAACTATCAAAAAGGTGAGAGGCCCAGTTTCCATGTATGTGACAGATGCTGCTGCTCTGCTGCTTGGCAAGTGAAGGCCACATGGGAAGCCTATTTTTTGGTTCTTGTTTTTTAGTTTTACTATAAGGTGTATGTGCTCACTGGAAAGAGAGAGAGAAAGAAGCAATAAATGAAAAAAATCACCCCTCCCCAGGGGAGATGGTCACGCCACAATCCCTTTTCCTCCATTCTCATCTTGGGATTTTTGGTAGTGCAAAAAACGAGTGCACGTACACACAGACACACACAGGAGTGTTCTTCAAGCCACCGAGCAAAGGCAATTCTTTGGGATTTGAACCACACAGTTGGCTGTGTAGGATCCAACTGCCTTAACCACCATACCACTGGCTGGCTCCAAGAAGGCCTAGAAAGCTAGATGTCATGGTGCGTGTCTGTGGACTCAGCTACTTTAGGAGGCTGAGGCAGGAGGGCTGTGGCAAGGATCTTTTTTTCCTTTTAAGAATTATTTTATTGGGACCAGCAGTTAGCATAATGGCTATGCTGCTGGACTCCCATGTAGTCGACCACGGTTCGAGTCCCAGACCCGGTGGCTTAAACTCACACCGGGTGCGTGTACATGCGTGCCCAAGATCCTGAGAGGAGAATGGAGAAGAAGGGATTGAGGCGTGGCCATCCCCTCTGGGGGGTGATTTCTCACTTTCTGTCTCTCTGTGTCTTTCTGGCGAGCGCATGCACCCTGTAACAACAACAACAACAACAACAACAAACCTCTCCAAAAAAAGAGGAAAAAAAAAGAATTATTTTATTTATTATTATTTTCTTTTTCATTTGCTACAGGGCACATGCACTCACCAGGAGAGACAAATAGACAGACAGACAGACAGACAGACAGAGAAAGTGAGAAAGCAAGCCTCCAGGTCCAGGATTCAAACTACAGTCAGCCATGTGGAAGTTCAGCGCCTTACCAACCATGCCACCTGCTGGTCCCAGAGAATCTGTTTAAAAAAAAAAAACAAAACAAAAACAAAAAAAACAAGCAAACAAAAAAGCATCCTTCCTCTCCAACACACTAATCATTAATATAATACGGTAAATGGGGGTGGGGGACAGGGGCTGCCGGAGTGCTAAAACATGGTTCTCTGAAATCACACATGGAAGCTTTCCGGTTCTGGTATGGAGGTATGGGGACCTCCTTGAGTGCACCGAGCACACGTGCACCCATGATCTAAGCTGGCTGAGACAGGAGTGGACTGCATTAAGGTCCTGTTGGGGTACCCATCTCTTTGTCTCCCTGGCTCATGGAAGAAGTAAGTAAATGTAGAAAATGAAAAAAGACAATTCATTTAGTATTATGTATATTTTACCAAAATTTTTAAAAAGGGTATTAGTAGAAAGATGGGGGGAAAAAAGACTTAAGGCATCATAACAGGAAAACCTGACAAAGAGCTGGGCTCTGAGGCATGCACCGAAGGAATGACAGCTACCACACACCAGTCCCTCTCAGAGACACGTGTCCCCAAGAACAATGTAAACATGACTCATTCTCAAAATGCTCAGAAACAAGCACAGGTAGTCTACTGTGAGGCAACAGAGAAGAGACAACGCTAAAAACAAAAATGCAAGAGAAAGGTAGACACAGAAATCAGACCATTCCTGAGGTGGGGGCTGCCTTCTCCTGTGAACACAGTCCCTCGGACTGCTTCATGGCCTGTAACTCTGAGGCCATTTTTCCCCCTCATCTTCACTGAGTTTTTAGAGGGTGACCAGCAGGGGGAGCTAGCACAAAGGAGAAGGACCATCTTGACCTTGTTTAGGGCCACAGTCACAGGGGAAGGCCGGAGGAAGACCAGGGTACTCTTGTACCCCATGCCCTCACTTTTGTCTGAAGGTGACCTTTTCAGAGGTAGAAGAGTTGGCCAATATGAAGGCCCCAATCTGGTACCCACAGGCCCTGCTGCTAACTGAGACTTGAATTCCTGGCATCTCTTTCTCCTTTTTTTTGAGAGGTTTTAGCTACAGGGCGCATGTGCTCGCCAGAAAGACAGAGAGATAGAAAGCGAGAAATCACCCCCCAGGAGGGATGACCATGCTGCAATCTCTTTTCCTCCATTCTCCTCTCAGGATTTTGGGCACACATGCACAAGTTGCTGGGTCTGGGACTTGAACCAGTCTAGGACTTGAACCGTGGTCGACTACGTGGGAGTCCAGCGACATAGCCATTACGCTAACTGCTGGTCCCTCTTTCTCCTTTTGTTGCCACCAAGCAATGCTGGTGAAGAGTCCACCAGAGAAGCTTAGAATAACCCCAAGAGCAGGCTGTCCCCACCACCCCTCCCTCTGCATCCTCCTGCTTGTCTAGCAGAAGTGGTGGTAGGACTTGAACCGTGGTCGACTACGTGGGAGTCCAGCGACATAGCCATTACGCTAACTGCTGGTCCCTCTTTCTCCTTTTGTTGCCACCAAGCAATGCTGGTGAAGAGTCCACCAGAGAAGCTTAGAATAACCCCAAGAGCAGGCTGTCCCCACCACCCCTCCCTCTGCATCCTCCTGCTTGTCTAGCAGAAGTGGTGGGAAGGGCCACTGGAAAGTGGCAGGCCTGGGATCATGAGTGGGATCCACGTGGACCCCAAGTCTTACTCCAGTGCATTGAGCTGGGGGTCCAGGAAAGGGCAAGGAGGGTGTGGGGTAGGAGGGCCATGGACGCAGCTCCCAAAAGAACTAAGCCTCCAGTCACACAGAGTGACCAGAAAGGTGGGCCCAGGCTATTTCACACAAAGATGCAGAACATTCTGGTGCACAGTGGGGTACTTCACATCTTACACATGGTGGGATACATTTACAATCTCACCTCCACACGGCTGTTGACCTCCTCTCCGGGGAGTTTAGATTGCACAGCCTTCTCGAGTGGCTCTGTGGCAAGCTTCACTGCGTGCTGAATCCGTTCAAGCATCTGCTTCTTATCAGGATCCGTGGTCTCACTTAACTTTATTGAAAATGGCTACAAGCATAAGTAGACAACAAAGCTATCAGATACTGCTCAGCAAAGCCCGAGTTCACAAAGGAGATCCAAGGTAGGGAGCAGATCAGTTTACCCAAACACTGCCCGGCAGTGGTAAAGACATTTGTGTCATTACTGTGGCTTTTCCCCAGGGCAGGAGCTAAGAGACTGAAGGCCCTGCCCTAAACAGTCCTGGCCTTGTCCTCTCTTTATGTGTGACAGTGCAGGGCACTTAGCCTCTCTGTGCTTGCTCCTCCAATGCAAAACAAGCATGAGGACAGTTCTTCCAGGCTCATCAGTGAGCTCAGGGGTGAACGGCAGCCACCTCCCTCATGAAGGCACTCCAGCTTGGTTGGCCTGAAAGACTACTAAGCTCTAGTTTCATTCTTATTTTTTTCTGCCTGAGACAAAAGGCCATAAACATATCAGCTACTTTTTTTTTTTTTTTTTTTTTACATTTTTTGCCATAGGGGGACCCGCGGGAGGCAAAAAGGTTTTGT